GAGAGAGAGAGAGAGAGAGAGAGAGAGAGAGAAGGGGGGGGGAGGAGGACCGTGCCGCGCCTGCGAATTGTCGTCAGGGCGACGGCGACACTGGAAAAATCGAACTGAAATAACCGAAGCGTTTTCTTCGCGGAGCTCGAGCACGAGAGCTTTCCCTCTCGCTTGTTACTTTCACAATTTTCTCAGCTCTCGTCTCCCTGTCCCCCTCATTCCGTCGACCGACTCGCCTCGCCTCCTTCTATCATCCTACCTCGATCTCCCTCCCTCCCGTCCTGCAGCCCCGTCCTCCTCGTTTTCCAGCACTTCTCTTTTCTTCCGCCTCTGCTTCTCCTACCTAGGCTGGCTCTGTTCCTCTCCCAGGCTCCCGGAGTTTACTCTGTTATTGCCAGACCGTCCAGGACGACTGCGTTGGACTTTCGACGTCGATCGCTAGACTTCCACCTTATTCCGCCTTTTCCGCGGTCAATATCCTTTCGCACTACATCTTTATTACGTCTGCCTTTATTCCGCGGTACCACGTCTGTGGTATACATTACATTATCTCGAATCAATTATATAATTTTATTAACATTTCATTATCATATAAATTATACGCTTTCATTAACTTTCATTACCACACGAATGTTCTCATCTATAATTAATGTTAGTTTTAATATGCAATCATCTTTTTCCAACAACGATTTCCAATAATCGCTCTGTACTAAACGTAATTTAATCATATTCTTTTTATAAGTATTAAGTTAAAAATCAAGTCAATTTAAAATCAAAGTGAATCGATGCGAGTCTTCTACCTAAGAAGTTAACGTATGACAAAGAGGAGACGGGAATGTTCACATGGCTGGAGCAACCTCGCGGATAGAAAAGTAGAGAATCGTTCCTCTAGAAAAGGAGGTGAAGCCCTCATCTCTCGTCGTAGATCTTCAAAGCTCGTCGCAACTTTCAGCGGATGAGTTGTTGGAGCGATTTAGGCGTTACCGCGGAAATGGTCTTTTCGCCTCTTCGCACTCTCTCACTCTCTCCCTCTTTATGTTCCTTCCCCACTTCCTCCCGGTCCCTCTCGCATATCTATCCCGTCGAGTTTTCTCTCTTTCTCTCTCTTCTTTCTACAGTTAGGTCTGGCAGTCTCTACAAGCAGGAGAGAGCCACGCCGGTATTTACACATCTCCGTGGCGCGCGAAACAAAGAATTATTATTTGTATGCCCTCGTGGGTGGCGGAGGATTTTGCAGTTCACAAACTAAGTTAGCAGCTACAACTCCGCGGCTTGGTTTGGAGGTGCCGGTAGTGGATAGGAGTCACGGATGGAGAGAGGGATGGGTGCTGGTGTCCGGAGGTGTCGGAGGAGGAAGAACGGCGGATGGCTGCCCACCCGCCTGCGCCCGCCCGCTTGCTTGCCTCTCTACGGTTTCTGAGATTATGTGTTGCGGATATACGGGAGTTACAGCCCTCCGTCCTGATGTCGGAGGAGGTCTACGTACGTATGTGCGCGCGGGAGCTCTCTTCTCTTCGCTCTTTCACCTCAGCGCTCTATATTTCTCTCCCTTGTCTCTCCTTTCGGGCAGCACGGTAGCGCCCATTGTATTTTCGCACGAGTGTACACTTTTATAAATCGTCTGACGTACCGGGCCACTACCACCACCACCACCACCACCACCACCACCATCACCATCACCATCACTACCACCACTACCACCATCACCATCACCACCACTACCACCACATCGCCACGCGAGCCAGCACCGGATTAGATTAGCAGCGAGTTATAACGTCTCGGAGGAGTGAGCGAGAAAAAGAGTGCGGAGACAAGGGAAAGAAACGCCTTTCTTTCACAGCCCTAATACTCGAGTCCGGGAAATCTTTGATCCATTTTGAAGTAGACGGCCCGCGACGAAAATAGATCTAACTGTTATGCATGCGGAAGCTTGAGGTAAATTTTTTGCATTTGAAAAAAGTAAACATAACTATGATATTCGTCGGGATGTTAATTATATTATGATCCATTTTTTTTTAATTTACGAACATACTCGTATTTATCTGAAGAAAAACTAACAAATAAAATTTTATGCTTTATAAATGTAACAAGGTAATGTGGGGTCGAATAGGGAAAAAAAAAATTTGCGACCGCTAAAACTTCAAGGAAACAATATGTAGCTAGATTGCCAAAGTTTAATAAAAAGCAATGTATAATAATATATGAAATCCGCTGGATAAGAAATTAGTATTCCGAGTCATTACCGTCGAGTACACGATTTTATTAACTCAAACTCACTGCGTCACTTCCTGAAGCACGCTGCCCCACTTGGTGCTCTACTAATAAGCTTTCATAACGAACAATCTTGTAACCGAAGTATTTCCAAGCACGATGCAAAATCTCTACAACCGGGTCGTACAACCACAAAATAACTTCGTCCCGGCGAACTTTGAAAAACTTCCCGCTCGCGAAGATTGGGAATAAGAATGTCGAGTTTTCGCGGGCGCGAGTTTCTTAGTTCGGTATCTGGCGAAAGGAAACGTAAACTGAGAGAAATTCGCCGTGCTCTCGAAGTCCCCGAGAGGTCCTTGTCTGAGGACTACCACCTTCTCCTCACGGCGAACAGGCAGTCACGATGGGAAGGTCGGTCGGAGGTATTGATCTCAACTCTTGCTTTTCTCAACTTTTTATCCGGCATAGCCAACCGCCGCGTCGGAGAACGACGACGACGCCGGCGACGGACCTAGGAGCCGGCAAAGCCACAACTTACTTCAATTCCTCATTCCCCGTGCGAATTCTTGGCTTGAACTTATGACCAACTCCTAACCCCGCAGCTGCGGACTTCGAGCACCGTGAGTCCCCTGAATTCTTATGAACTCTCGAAGCTATCTATCTTATAGTGAATTCGATCACCCGCGGATTAATGTTAAAAGCTGCTATGCTACGAAGTTATTGGTACGTAAAATTATATAAACATTTTAAATAATTATATAAACTCAGTATATTCGATAATTTTGTTATTTAACAGAATATATATCAATGACGACTTTATCTTCAAAGAGATCATATCGTGCCATTAGATATTTGCAACAGCTTTTAACATGTACATTAATCCGTTGTAATGGATGACCGAAGTCGTCATTAGAATTAGTCTCGAATTCTATCAATACATTGATTTGCTCTAAAAATCAGTGTTGCATCTTAAACTTCTATAAAATATCTTTCGTGTACAATTTTTTCATACAATTGTAAATGCTGTCTGTTTATGAAAGAAAAAAGAGAAAGCTGTCGAGACAGTTCGAGTTTCAAAGTTCTCAAAAGTATGGAAGCGCTCTTTCTTATTTTCTATTTTCATGATAGTTGGAAACGTATTCTATTATATTTAAACTTAATTTTATATATTATGCTTATGTTTATGTAAAATACATATACGTACGTATACCTTCATCTTATATAACTTATATTTTAAAAAGGCGTTCTTGTTGGTTCATCGACATGCACGCAAGCAAAAAAACACATCAACGAGTTAAAAACACGTACGATGGTAGCAGGAAAAGCAGAACAGGTAATCGTGACCGCAGGGTATATACTCTTTAAACTTAAAATTCAGTTTTTGTAATGTAATCTGTAATCAAGCATCCATGCAATCTCTTTTATTTTTCCTTTACATGATAAGATAAGATATATTGATTTATAAATAATTTCGCGATATTAATAAATACTTTTCTTATATAAAATATATCTAAATTTTATTTTGCATATTATTTATATATTTTTTTATTATTCTTTATTACTAAATTATTTACAATTATCTCAATGTAATTATTACTTTTATAAATAAATATCGCAAATAGATTCAATTAAATTTGATTTTTTATTTTTGGTCTACTTCCTACTTTTTTTCTTTTATCTTTTTTTACGCGTAGAAAATAGAATATCATCTTTTAATTCAACTCAATTTTTAATCATGAAAGTTACAAAGAAGATCGATGTGATCGATAAAAGAAGAAATCGTTAGTAAAATCCGAAAAACGTGTCGCTCGAATGTAGCGGTGGTGAATAATCACACTCCGAGACTTACCGCTTCTTCAGAATTAAAATTCAGTTTCGCGGTCTAGCTTGTAAGCAAGGTACGAAGCAAACTTTCATTTCCCATCCGGTGAAATATCGTGTATTTATTTGTCTGTGAAATCCTCGGTTCCTCGTCTCGCCCACCACCTACCCTCCGACACCCCCAGGCTTCGGCGGTGTAGCGCCTCTTTTGGGCACGGGAGCCCGCAGAAACCGTGCTGCTGCGCCGAGGCGGCAGCTATCTACGTTTCTACCGTTTTCACGAAATTAATATATCCCTCATATACTTTGCATATTATTGCAATATTCCGTAGCTATTACTCGTCCGCCTTTTCCTACCTCCTCGCCCAGCTCCGCCTCGTCCCGCGCGTCAGCGCGCGCGATACGCGGAGTCGAAAGATGTACCGATTTCGCATCCCCAACCAAAAGTAGATCTCCATTTCCACATTCCTAATTCTCGTCGTCTTGTATCGTCTACTTCTGTTTGAAATACTGTCGACTCTGTTTCATGATCGCGCTGATTATTTAAAGTCAAAAGTTAAAGTTCGAAGTTATTGTTCGCCAAGCACCGATGCAAGTCGAGCGTTACTGAAAATAATTTTACGCGTGTTTTTGCGATCAAGAATATTTTGGAATAATATTCTTTTTAAGACTGATATCCATGCTATCAGTTTGATTTCATGCTGTGAAAGCGCTTGACGTTACAGAAAATGGAAAATATTTTAAAAATCTTAAGCCTTCTTAAAGCTCTCTACTTGCTAAATATATTTGTAAAATTCATAACCTACGTGCATAATACTCACTAAACTACCATATATACTCGAAATAATTCTGTGACAATAATCTTTAATCGGTTTATTCGGCAAAAATACATGATTCGGATCCAATTAGAAATTGTGTTACATTTTCTGTTGAAATAAAAAGATGTCTAAAACCAATTACAGGCATACAATAGCTTCGGTTTAAATATAGCGTCATTTTATCAGAATTTCTGTCAGTAAACAGAAGATTAATCCTCAGTCGGTTCAGTGACATCCGTAGTTAATCTAGAAGTAGCTACGTCTGACCTCCTTCTATTTAAAGTACCATCGCCCAATGAGGAGTTCTAATTAAAAATCACGAATTCAATCGATATTGAAATTGTCAGGACTTTAAATCACTTGTAAGCGATATTTCATTTGTGAAAAATTCAAGGATGCATATTCGGCGAGAGGTCTCAAATCAAAGGAATTTGACATGACGATACTTATTAGTGGTGCAGCAATAGTCCTAATAACTAATAACTAATAACTAATAACTAATAATCTAACGTACGTGATTCATTCTATTGCATCTTGATAATCCGTATGTTTCTCTTTGAAGATGATCATGTCATAAATATGAATCGTTCGCGTTCGGCAAGCACCGCCAGATTTATATCATCACCTTGTTAGACAAAATAATATAAAATAAGCAGACACAATAGCCTCACGATCAGCTCTATAGCGAATTAGTAGAAAATACATAGCATAACCTAAAATAGTTTCTCTTCTTCTACGGTTAATTTAATCTAGACACAAAGTTAGCTCGTGCGCGTTAACCCGTTGCTGCCAAAATAGCAACTTAGTTCCTAAGCTAATATGTAACTGTCTTGCATTGAGATAATTAATGTTTACATTCACATACGCACATATTGGATTCTAAATCTTCTTGCTACGAACACGCTAGGCGTTCATGCGTGCGACATGCTCCTTCTTTCGATGAATTCACCAGGTCTATTCGGTTAGTAGAAATTTCGGTAGGGATATAATTATCGTTCCAGCGTAAACAGCACATTTTCCAAGAATCCGAATGATCGTTGACAAAGCGCAAGAAGCGTGGAAATTAACATTAAAATCGTTTCTAAACGTACAAGCCTTGAAAACATAGTGAACGTATACACACTAAATATACATTCGTACTAAATTTAAATATATGTTACGTTATATTCCCCGATATGAATTACCTTACAATCTGCATAATCTATATCTGTATTTTATAACCAGTCGCAATAATCATAATTGCAGATCGATATGCATCGCTCGACAAGTAAGCTTCTGCTTAATTTAAACTCGGATGGCCCCCTTTCTATCCCTCGTTCTTCATCGTCTAGCTATCTCTTTCTCTCTCACATTTGCATCTGCTAAGTGATAAGTAAACCCCCGTAGACATATCCGGACAGACGATAAGCGTGAAATAAATCGCAAAACTTTAAGTAGTTATAAATCTATACTGATGTCTCGAGAAAGAGAGAAAGAGGGAATACAGAGAGGGAGAAGGGACGAGTTTTGGGCTCGAAGGAAAATCAAGAGCGGGAGGATGGGAACGAGAGGAGGGAAATGAGAGAGGCTAGAAAGAGAAGCAAACATAGCGGGAGGCATAAAATATAATTGCATCGGGTGGCGTCACTGTCTTGAACAACCCCGCGCTGATAAAATGTCACCGCTACTCGCTTCTCGCATTTTAATGCCTAAATTATGTTCGGCATTGGAGATAGACGGCTGCCTTAAGAAAGCCCCATTGATTGCGACCCTAGACGCCGTAGGTTGCGTTTTTGTTTTAACGAGTATATCATTTGCGAATGTGACGTATGACGTATGAAATGCGCGGAGTTGTTCAAACCATTTCAATAACTAATATATAAAAATGTGACGAAAATAAACTGTATGTCCATGAAAACTTAAAGAAAAAATGATACACGTCGATCTAAGGAAAAAAAAACGGAAAATTCCTTTTAAACACAAATCAGCCTGCGTGTCGATTTGTGTTATAACACGTAATTATTCATCGCAAAGAATCATCACGAAATAGCACCGTTTTTCGTAACGCTTCCGTAACGCGGCGGGGATTCTCTCACAGTATTAAGT